AGGCCAGCTTGGATGGGGCTCTGAGCAACCTGATCTAGTAGTGGGAGGTGTCTCTGGCCAAGGCGGGCTGGAACTAGATGATCTTTAAGGTCCCATCCAACACAAACTATGCTGTGATTCTATTATTTTTCTCACATAGTAACAACAGTGGCAAATGAGCTGTGCCATATTACTATTTGCTAAACAACAGCTAGTTAATATTGCACAATGTGCACAGACAGAGAAGACTGGGTTTTTAATCTCTATTCTTTGCTAGGAAAGAGAAGTCCTATAGGGAAGCAAACCATCTAAAGTCTGAGCACTTTTCATAGAACAGTGTAAAGTCTCATCTAAAATTATCTGCTTTCTACCAGTTCCTCGCAACACCCATTTATTTCTCTTCCCACACTGGTACTTCTGTTTCCCCTTCATTTACTGTTCAAACAATGAGAGACTTCACTGTTTCTTGGAAACAAAATAAAGGACTTTATTAGCTGTTGCTACACATCTGCAACAGCTTATTCAACCAGTTGCGTTATCATACAGTGGCAACAGCACAGTTGCTCTCTACACAATGCTGTGCCAATCTCCATATCAGAGCTTGACCTTTCCATAGATAGAAGTCTATCTGTTTCCTTGGAAAGACATTTCTAGTATTATTAACATTTTGTAATAAAAACATGAAGAAAAGAAAATAGGAGCTACATGCTTCCTTGTTTGGTTAAAAAAATGAATAATAATTGTGTGTACCTGAGACAAGAAACACTCTTGCTTAGTAGTCATCTCTCAAAGCCACATACAAGCACTGCACATAGCAAGAAGCTCCACTGGTTGAAGGAGAGAAGTTTTGGTGGAACATATGCATAGGTAAAGCAGCTACCAGAAAGCGCTTGAAGAGGTGAGGTGCTTTCTGATAGGGTTGGCCATCCTGGTTAAGAATAATCTTGATCAGAGGAAGGATATGGGGCAGTGGTCCTCTGTTGAAATACTTGAGCTGCAGGTGGCTATGGACATAAAACCTTTCCTGAGTTCTTCAGATGGCCTGCCCTTGGAAGAGAAGAAACCTATTTCTCCTTGAACTAAACATGATTTATAAACATGTGTCTCCCACAGACATTCCCTTACTCTCCTTTCTTTCTCTCAGGAAAAGGGAAAAAATGGATCAGTAACAACTCCTTTTCACTTTGAATCAAGATTTCTAGAGTGAATGATGACTACATAACTGTAACACGCAACAACAGTGGATAAAACTTCTATCAGAGGAGAATCTTGCAGCCAATATCTTAACATCTGCCTCTATGTAGCAGTATCAGATCTATAGAGATGTAGATATTTGAAAAAAGGTAAGAGTTACATGTGTGTCCATGAGCTATATAGGCAAAGTAAAAGGCCTTATCAAGGTGGTAAAAGGCCACCTCATCAAGTGCTTAAACTTACAGCTCTCTATATGCTTGCTCTTTTAAGTTGTCTTGATGCATTTGCTTTTTGGTAATCAGTGTTAGCAGCATAGGAAGCAAAAAGCTCCAGCTTATACATACTAGAAAGAATATAGACTGCTCTCTTAAGCCTTTCAGCTGTATTAATCTCATGTTTCAAAAACACAGAGATACAGCCACATTTTTGGTCAATGTGTTAGACTGCTTGTTCCTAATACATGAAGTCATTGCTTTTAAAAGTCCTGGGAGGTAGAGAAGTGGAGAAAGGGTGCATACATCCAGTATCTACAATTCATTCTGCAACCTAAAGTAGCCTATTACTATTGAGAACAGATATCAGAGCTTTTCCATTTGGTAATCAAATAGGAAAAAAAACCAACCAAACAAATACCTGACAGAAAACGAACCAACAAACCTCTGCCAAGGCCAATAAAGCACTAGCTTCCCAGAGAAAGACTCCTACATACCATACGTTATACAAAAGTTTCCAGTAAGCAGTACTTGCAGACATGAGTATCAAAAAGTCAAGGCAGCTTATTAGAGCACATGATAAGTTCACAGTATCAAGGGTGTGGCTTTTGCAACAAAACCAGGTATCTCACATTCTGCTGCATTTATTCTGCATACATACACTCCAATGGTCAGAAGTCCATCAGCAATAATGGATAAAGCTCAAGAGGGAAAAAAAACCCAAACAAACGATACTTTTTGACTTTTTGATTGAGAAACCACACATTACTGTTTTCAATGATCTTGGCTAATGTACAGTGGAAACTCAGCTGCACTAGATCAAGTGTTGCCAGCACACTGAGAGGGCTGCTCCTTTCCCTCTTACTCAGCAATGGTGAGGGGCCACACCTGGGGTGCTGTGTCCAAATCTGGGCTGCCCAGTATAAGAGAGACATGGACGTACTGGAGAGAGTCCAATGAAGGGGCACCAAGACGAAGGGACTGGAGCATCTCTTCTATGAGGAAAGGCTGAGACAGCCATGATTCTTCAGCCTGGAGAAGAGAAGGTTCAGGGAGATCTTATCAATATGTACAAATACCTGAAGGCACAGTCCAAAGAGGGCAGAGCCAGGCTCTTCAGTGGTGCCCAGTGACAGGACCAGAAGCAATGGGAACAAACTGAAACACAGGAGGTTCTCTCTAAACATCAGGAAACCCTTTTTTACCGTGAGGGTGATCAAGCTCTGGGACTGGTTGCCCAGGACAGCTGTGGAGTTTCCATCTTTTGAGATATTCAAAATCCATCTGGACATAGTCCTGAGCAACCAGCTTTATAGTGGATCTGCTTGAGCAGCAGGATTGGATCAGATAACCTCCAGAGGTCCTTTCCAAACTCAACCATTCTGTGATTTTGTGAAACTTCAATACCACTTTTTTTTTTTTTTTTTTTTTTTTTTCCTTCCAGAAAAGTACCTCTGTTTCCCCTGTTATAAGAGCCAGGCAACTGTTTTCCTGGACAATCAATTACTAAATATCCTTATGATTGACTGACAAAAGGTTAAATTCCATACCTTCTAACTCAGCATGGTTAGGTCACTGCAGCATGGAGAAAATCTACATGAAGAGGACATTGGTTGACTGGGTTTGCTGTGCTGTTGTGTTGGTTTTGGGGAAGAAGATGGGGGTTGCTGTTGTGTTTTTGGGGGGTTTAATTTGGTGGCAGGTTTGGCTTATATTTAGGCAACAAGACAGATTTTGAAAGTGTGGCCCTGTCTAAATGCCTACAAATTCAGCCTTCCTCATAGCTGCAGTGACTGAAATCTATTTGTTAAATTAGGGCAAGGTTATTTCACTACTTGAAATCAAACCTAAAGAATTTCTAAGTTAACAAAGGCAGGAAACTTTACAGTATCTTAAAAGTGTTCCTGGGTACAACCCAAAGAAACCAAGTACACCCATAGATTCTTCCACACCAATCTGCATGGAAAGCATACAACAAAGTGTACCTTTGCCCATTCATTTTCAAAGCATGAAAAACAGGACATTAAAGACAAGCAAAAGTTATGTTTTAAAGCCTTGGTTAGACAACAACTCTGACTTTAAATAGAAGGTATCAGAGTGGATTAAATTTAAACTGTTCCGTCAGTTTGGGGCTGGATTATACTCCAACACAGTGCCTACAACGTGACTGTTTCAGGCCTCTCCCCTGAGGCAGGACCAAACTGGTTGGGGATTCAACTGCACTGAAGCTCTGTTTGGCCACTTCTCTAGCACAGACTGCTATGTCAGCGAGGCAGAGACTAGTGGCTAAAGACAGCTTACAGACTGCTTTGATCTAAAAGGTCCAAACCAGCCCTCCACCTACATCACCAGTGAATCATAATCAAACATAGTAATTGAGAACTGAACTTAACACCCTGTGTCTCTGCAGGGCAGTAGCACTACTGCATTAACTCATTGCAGCAGAATGATCACATCTTTACAGACAGAATTATATGTTTTTTAACACTTGTGTTATCATGTATGATTCCTACCCCAAACTAAAGTGCAAACTAGTGTTTAACCTTCCTCTTCCCCCACCAATTATTAAATACACATTATTCCTCTTTTCTTCAACAAGACCAAAGGTGTAAAGGCTGCTGGCAATGCATCAGCTACTAAAATAGTCTCATAATTAGTGAGAAATATAAAAGACTGGCTTTTTCTTTTCATTTGACTAATCTGTGCCCAGTACTGCAGACAGGAAGGTACAAACTGTATCTGTTTCAGTGTAAAAATATATACAACTATATTTAACATTTAAATTACTTTAAACACAACTGTTTGTATACTAACAATCTATGTACATTCAGTTTTAAACAATACCTCTTTAATATACCCTTATTTTGCTAAACGAGTTTTATTTTCCTCCCAAAATACCCATTGCTACTTTAAAATTGTAGAGGGGGAAAAATCTGAGCTGTATAGAAAATAGCAAGATGTCTTACAACTGTCTTGTATCATAGCACATATTTTCATAAAAACAATACATCATTCAAAAACTGAACCATTATAAAAGTTCTCATAAGTCCAACAGGACTGTCTCTAAAAGCTTACTTTGGTTAACAGCAAATCTTTCTTAAACAATTAAGGAGAAAATGTATATTCTTTACCACCTCTCCAGATGCATTTCCTTGGCATGTTGTAGCAATCGATGTATATCTACGGATGAGCACTGCAGCTGTTCAGCACTCTTTATTTGTACTGTCATTTCAATTAGATGGATTATATATCAGGTTGGATTGATTTATAATTAAATTAGTCCAACTTCCTAGGATCTCTGCATAAGAGAACTCTCTAAGACTCCTTAAGATCTCTGGATATCAGAGAAAAAGAATGGCAAGACTAGCACTTCTTCCTCACAAGGCTGATCTCATGCAGTACTTGCAACAGAATCACTAACTTGCATAAAACTGCCATTTCCCTGCTTATCTTTTCTGGTCAGGACAGTAACACAACTTCTGCCGAGTTCTACATACTCTGACACCCAGCCACTCAACTGAAGTGCCACTGGACTTTATGGTAATGCAGTGATTTACTCTGAGTCATTATGAATCATTCAGGTCATATGTGGCCTCAATATCACTGAAGTTTTACTCATTTCCAGGGAAATAAATGCTGTCAACTTTTGGCCAGGAAGAGAAACTTGATCTTTATCTTTCTTCCCTCCTCATACTATGAAACACTCTGATCCATCCAAAAAACACACAAAAAGGCAAAAATATAAGACTCTCCAAGAAAAGAATGCCACATTAGTCACTATGCATCAGTTAAGCTGAAAAGTCAGTAAATCTGACTGATGAGCAAAGGCACTTGGTAACAGTCCCGTGAACAATAGTCAATGAGTCAACAATTTCAGTCTTGTGATCCAACTGACCAGCAGTGAGGGCTCTGCAGAGGAAGATTTTGTGGACGATGTAACAGATGATTTCTTAGCACCTTCCTCTTGAAAAGGAATTGTTGCACTGTTGTGGAGGTCTGTATTCATAAAACACCTGCTGCCTCGAATATAATCCGTTCCTCTCATTAACTGCTTGTCAGACACTGGTCTTGAGAGGGGGTGTTGTGTGCAGGGGCTTTCCTCAATGATTGGGGGTATCCTTTCATTACTGAAGTATCTGCAGAGGACATCTTCACCTGCACGAACAAGAGGAAGAAAACCAATTACTGTTGATTTCAAAACCTGCCATTAGCATTTTCTGGTTTTATAAAAAAAAATTCTGAGACCTAACAAACCTTCTGGTTTGGATCATCGATTTGCAATGCTTTCTCCCTCTTTCCTCTTCCCTAGACACCTGACCGTGGCTGCCTTTTTTCTGACCCAATACAGCTAACAAACAAGCCTGAAAGACTTAAGTACATTTCAAGCATTACAAAAAGTCAACACAACACCAAAACCAAACCAAAACACACGCACACAAAAAACCAGCCCTGCCACCTGGTGATAGCTCTGTTATCTTCTTACTTAGTCTGCTTCTAATAGTCCTCCAGGCTGCTGCTTCTTGTTATTACCTTGTACTTTTGCATTAAAATAATGGAATTCAGCTTGTCCTGTCCCTAGAATTACACATCAGCTTTCCTAACTGTTTTCAAGAATAAACTAGTCATTCTTTCTTATCTCCAACTCTAAAAGGATTCATAGCCTTGCAGATGCAAAAGGGGGAGAGGGAGAGAAGGGCCGTGGGCGAATGAAAAAAAGCCACCCAACTATCAGCTTCTCTCTCAGAACTCTGTAACATCTGAAGAGTATATTGTTAACAGAAACAGCGCAAAGCAATTCAAAAAAGGCTCTACATTTTACTTCTGAGAACAAGCTTGCTTCTACAACAGCATTCACAGTGAGCTAAACAAACAGAAAGATGTATAAAAAAAGCGGTTTTATGATCAAAATTACATGCAGTAGAAAGGGAAGAGGGGCAGGGATAAGAACAAAATGGTAAACCTGTGCTATAAAGATAGTACTGATATGCCCTAATCATTCTAGCCTACTTTTAAAACTCAGAAGAATTCTAAGACAGAACAACAAAACTTTGAGTTCCAACACTGAATAGCCTCCCAAGTCTCACAACAGCCATCTGACATTCCTCCTAAAACCAACAACTGTCATCTTGGATCAGGGATCAGATCAACAATATGCAAAAAATTAATCCTTTATTCCTAATTCAGACACTTCCATTTAGATCACTCCAAGGAAATTTTGGAGAGGAAGGGAAGAGAAAGCCGGATGAGATCTACAGCCTTGCCTTTTCTCCCTGGTGCTCTTGGTCTGGAGAAGGGCTCTGCGGCTCCTATCCAGCTGCCATCAGCAGGCATTGACAAAGGACGAGGTTTTCCTAAAGGATGCAGAGACTCTTATGAGGAATTACATTAAGTTTAGGAAAACAATTTTTAAATTATACTTTTCACAATTAAGGATGGGAGAGATACAGCAATAAAGAGTTAGAATTGCAGAAAAAACTATGTCATGATCCTTCTGCTGGTGAAATATAAGAAAGCAATGTGTTGAGATTGAACAGCCACACTCTTGCTCATTTACAGCTGCAGTGGACATAATGACTAAAGGTTATAACCAAAACACACATGGAAATAGCGAACCATGGCAGCAGAGCCCTGC